CCAACTCCTAATATTCTGTTATTCTGTGATATAACCAAAGGTATGGATTTTATGGTGGGGAGGTACCCAGGCTTGGTGGTGGTGCCACCTGTAGATCCTGCCTTTGCTGATGTGTAGAGCTCTGTAGATGCAGGTAGACCCATATTGTCCAAAAGTAGCAACACATGTCTCTGTGAACTTTCTGCAGTATGCGAGTGAAAAACTCTGCTTTTGGTACATTCAAGATTTGCAGTTGTTCCTGCATGTATTTGATTTTCTCTTGCAACAACCTGGGTGTTGCTATAGCTAAATGCCATCTGCATTCGCTCTTTCACTGTTGCTTTGGCCCATGCTTTTATACTACAGGTCTAAGTGCTCTGTTACTGGAGTTTGAGAAGTTGGTAGTGTTAATGGACTGTGTGGAAATTAGGAGGACTACGGGTGAATATTCTGGTAGTCCTTCTGGACTGTGCATTTATTTCAATGTTCTCTGCAACTGGTGGTTCTGAGAGTTAGGAGGGAATGCAAGTCTCTGCTGCTTACTGTTGCTGGGGGAATTCACAATTTAAAAAAAAAAAGCCTAAAAAAGGGGTAGTTGGAACGTTACGAAAAATAGAACAAAAATCTACTATTTAAAAAGCACAACTCCCAAGACAGACAGTTCCTTGCTATAAGCTAAGGACTATAAGTAAGGACTTTCCCCTCCAGCTTCAGCAGGTGGAATGTTAATGTCTTGATGGTAATACGGGAGTGTAGCTCCTGCTTGTATAGAACTAATATAGACATATATGTATTTCAGATAGGTACTTGAGACCAAAAAATATTATAATGACTCATAAAAATAACAAGAGAATTAGCTTACAGAAGTTCTTTGGAATAACTAAGCTTTACATGAGCTTCAAGAAAAGTAGGGAGGAAAATTGAATGGGGTAGACAAATACAGTAATGAAGCATTTATTGCTGATAAATGGAATATTAAATTCTGCTTAGTCAGTCTGAACAAAACAGGTAGATACCTTTAGCCTATTAAATTCTTAAAGAGTGAGGATTATTCAGGCAAATATTAGAACTTGAGCATAGCATTCTAGATTGTATGGGTAACCAGTTACTTTGTAAGTGAAGGACTGTGCCTTGTCTTGTGTAGACTGCAATCTAAACTCTGATCAGATAAATCATTCGGTTAGCTTGGAGTTCCAGGTTATATGCATTAGCTGAGTCATCACCAAATGTGAGAAAATATGCGATGTTTTCATGTACTGAAAACCAGGCTAAGATCCATGGCTTGCTGTTTGCTGCAGGCCAAATCTGTGCACCTGTGCTGTTGTCGTGGTTCAGCTGATGTGTGGTAGGCAGAATGCTTGGCTGTGTCTCTGAGTCCTGGGTAGGCTGAGAAGGCTGTGTAGGCAAAGGTATCTGGCTGCTGGAGAGGTGAGAGCAGAAAATGATGAGATGAGGTGGTGGGTTTGCAGAAAAGGCTGTTTTTAATGTTAGCTGCTTCTTTATTGGTGCTTTCACTAGAAGGACAGAAACAAAAACATGGCATAAGAAGGAATTTGGAGCAGGCTGGAGGAGATGGAGCAGTTAGTCTGACAATTTCTGTAGAGGATACTGGAGGCCTTAGCACAGCACTACTTCGTTGTGTGAACCTTACCTTGGAATAATAAGTTACAAAAAGGAGAGAGGAAGAATGCAGAGAAATGTCATTCTTGTTTCTAGGCTTCCAAAAAGTGTATGAGAAAGTGTTTGGCTGTTACTTCTCCCTCTTTGCCCAGAGCAGAGAAGTTAACTGCCATGAAATGAGAAATATGTCTCTGTATAAAATGAAGTATAAAAGAGGGGAAGGGTTCCTTGGAAATTTAGGAAACACATGATGACACATGCTTTCTTCAGAAGCTCAAAAGTACATGAGAGACATTATGCAACATTTCTGTATGATGTATAATTTCCTTGAAAAAAGGAAGCTGGTAGCATTGAGTGGGAGGTTTTTTCACATTTTCACTAGAGCAGTGAAGCAAGGGAGTAAAAGTGTCTGATCCCTGGTTTTAGACAGGAGGAGATGATGGTTGTCCTGAAAGGATAACCTTTTCCCTGTCCTGCTCCTGGGACCCCTCGGTGTCCTTGGGCAGGAACTCTTCAGCTGCTTGCTGAAGAAGCCATTCTTTCACCAGCCAGCAGGAAAAAAGTGCTCTGAGAAGGGCAGCACTCTCCCGCACCAAGAAGAAGCTGTGGAGGGAAAATGTGTTTAATTTTAGCCCTGCTTTCCACCATTCTATTTTCTGAGCTTCAAGAAGAAACAATCTTGCCCTCATAACTCCAGCCTAGCTCTTATGACTGACTGCAAGAGAGCAAAGACATGGAGAGTTTGCATGCATCAACACCCAGGCTTAGGAAGTTATTAATGGTTAGCTGAGCACTGATGGCTAGGAATACTATAGATCCCTAGGCAGTGAGGTATGACTTCTTGAAGAAAACACACTCCTAGAAATTGTCTTTATGAAAGAAAAGTCTCTAACAAGACTCCAAGCTTCATCAGATCAAAACAGTGTTTCATCTTGCCCAGCATCCTGCCTTCTTGTGGTCTCCAAACACAAATGTTGGAGCTCCTGGGTTCTTACCTTTCCTGGAAGTTATTAATTGAGATGGATGGAAAGAGATGCTCATGCTGGAGCAGCAGGAGCAAGTGAGATGTTTAAAGCTCAGAAGAACAGAATAGAAGAGAAAGAAAGGTAGGTGAGTTGTGTTGAAAAGATAGCTCTCTCCACCCTGTTTACTTTTCCAGTTCCTGTATCTGCAAAAGGCCACAATATAAGTGCAGACAATAAAAAGTAGAAACTGTAGTGGCATGAGAAGGTACTTTCATGGGTAAATTGCAACCCAATTGGATAGTCCATGGGAAATAAGCCATGGACAAGACCTTCTGTGTGTGCAGTTCTATACCCAAGGACAAGGAAGTCTGTTTCCTATTGCTTGCCTTCAGTCCCTGTTGGAGAAAGTCTTTGTTTCTATGGTGTGGCACCAGGCAGAAGATACTAAGGACACTTAGTATGCTGGTGAGCGTTGTCCTTTGCCAGTGGAGAACCTAATCTCAGTGACTGGCCTAGCTGACCTCCTGGCTGCTCTCATATGGAAGGGAGATAGGATGTGGAAATAGATGGGCTGTTGTTGTTTTCTGGACTCATATACAGTAAAGTGACTTGTTTTGATGTGATAAAGCTGTAGTATCTGCATTGATTTATGACCAGTAGTAAGTTTTCATATGATGATGACCTGAGAAGCAAGGGAAGCACAGAATGATTGTGGTGAGTTCATGATTTGATGCCATTTAGGAATAATTTAAAAAAAAAATCAAACCTGAAACAAACCTCAAATAGTTGCTGTCACTTGGGAGCAGCTGGGTTGAGGAGTAGGCTTCTGAAATATTTCTCTTTTGCCATACACAGTTACTGTTTAAAGGGCAGTTTTCCATAGTGTCTATTGGGAATGTTGCCTTAATGAGAGTCCTCATTTATATCTTAACCATGCCCTTCCTTCAACTTAGTAGTGAAAAGTTACCAGCTACCATGATGTGGAATCGAGTCCTCAATGCAAGTGTAACTTGAACTCAGTACTGACATGTCTATGTCTACATACATGTCTGCCATGGCAGTAGTCTTCCGATTTTTTTAAAGTGATTCAGAGCTATTTGGAAGTAGGAAGTGATTGCTGGAGAATGAAGCAGTGACACAGAGATGGTTTACAGTATCCCTTCCCTGCAACAAATTTTGGTCTCATCTGTTAGATCAGTATATTTTTGTTTGCATGTGTAGCTCCTTTTATTAAAAGCTAGAGAAAATCTCTTAGCCCTCTTCTTTTTTATTGTTCTTTATTTGTTTATATTGAATATCTGAGCCTTTTTTAGCAGAGTATAATTGTATAAAAACTATTAGCAGTTAAGGTTTCTGGACAGCTCCCATTTCTTACTTGCAGCTCTGCTAGATCTCAGAGGTTGGGATGCTATTTCACATACATTGGCTGTGAAAGAAGCTTCCTTAAGTGACATTTTCAAAGGAAATCCCTAGTTAGCCCCATGATTTCAGAGCAGGTGCTTTGAACCAAGTAGCAATTTTGTGTCAGAAGTGTGCTTTTTACTGACTGTGAATATTCATGCTGGAAAAATCACTGTTTATTTGCTCAGCAGGAGCTTCAGTCTGGGCAGTCTGCAACAAGATGCTGAGAGAGATTTTGCTGGTGACAGCAATTCTTCATTTCATCTTTTTCACCAGACTGTGAGCAGGCCTAATACAAGTGAACAGAGGGAAAGTAGCGAGGATAGAGGAGCTTAGGATAGGGAAGAAGATCAGAATGATGATTCTACTTGGGACCAGAATGTGAAAACTAGATCCCTTTGTGGTGCCCGTCACATGATTGTGCAGACAGGCTGGGTTTGGGTGACTCTTAACTGATGCATGCCTTACTTTACAAGATTGTGATGTGCTTCTAACCTAATTTGAATGTATCTGATAGTGCATACAATATTAGTCTAGCAATAGTTTATTAACTTTTTTAGTAACTTTTTTCTTTTCCCTCCTTGTAGCGCATGTCTACTGTGAGGATGTGTTTGGCATTGTGGGAGAAAATTTTACTTTTCCAGTAAAAATAAACCAAAAAATAGAGGAAATTATCTGGACGAAAAATAAGGATAAAGTGGCTGAATGGGAAGGGCAGAACAGTCTGATGTATTTTACTTCTCTCCGTAACAGAGGGTTGCTTAACAAGGACAATGGGTGCTTGACTGTATTTAACTTGGAGAGCAGCGATGCTGGCACATATGTGTTAGACTACGTGGATTCTGTGAAGAAAACTAATGTCTTAACCTTCGTGCTTGGTGTTTTAGGTAAGTAGTAGAAAAAAATGCGTAAAGAGTTTGCACCGCTTTATTCACTTTAGGAAGGCTAGAAAGGGGATTGTCCATTTGTCAAGGAAGCAAATGGAGATGGAGGGGGGCTGTTCTTTGGCTCTAGTGTTAAGTTGCTTAGGCACTTTAAACAAATTTTAGGAGACGGCATCTAATTTTTGTGCACATCATTACTCACCTTGGAATGACTTCTAGAATGTGTGTAGATGGCACACTGTACTTTCAGGTAACTTTTTGAGCAAGCTGACCAAGTTATCCCAGGCATTATGTATCTATTGAAGATGCTACTGCAGGCATATTACACAAGCTTGAATATCTGTGGCATCATCCTCTGCAGGTCTCCACAGCTTCACTAGTAATCTTTGGGAAATAAATTTGATCAATGTGTATATTAGTCCTATTGACAATGAACCATGGGGAGTCTCAAACTAGGCACTGAAGAACCACAAAAAGGACCACTTTTAGAAATACACTTCTCCCTCATGCACGTGTGCACACACTGACGCACCTTACATGTGCATTTTTACCTATGCTTTCTCCTGCTGCTTTTGTTGCTCCAGCACTTGTCCTGTGTTAAAACTCAAGGTGGTTCATAACCAAAGTAATACAGAATGTTTTCTCTCCTTTTAGATCCCCCTTCAGAACCCAAAATAAGTTGCAACAGCAGTGATGTCAACCTCGTGTTCAAATGTACAGCAGATTTCCCGAAGCCTCTCAATTACACTTGGAAGTTGAGTAGCACGCCAAGCACTTATCACACCCAGGAATTTTTCATCCCTAAGAAGAATGTTGATGCTTTTGGGAAAGCTGCATGTTTCATTAAATTCTCTCAAACAGAAAAGAGCTCTGAAATCTCTTTGACTCGATGCTTTCTGGATAAAGAAGGTAATGAATGGGTCAGGTTGTATATGCAAGTCTGAGAGGCTAGGCTGGGCAGAAGCATGGACTTTGACTGTAAGACTTCTACTGACTTCTCAGGAAGTTGAATTTAAAGAGCAAAAAGTATGAGAAGTGATTTGTGTGCTAAAAGTGTGGTTAGGTTGGTGAAAAGTATGAGGTTGACAGTTTGATCCCACGGAAAGACACTTTTTGCAGGGTTCCAACAGAATAAAGCCTTCAGCTGTGACTTGAAAAAAGTAATAATAAAGAGGCAGACACACTTTGGGAGATCTCTTCTGACCCTTCTGGCCTTGTGTAATTAATGCACTCTTGTGCTCTTTGTACTTTCAAGCGAGTCATCAAGCAGCTGTTAGATAAAATAATTTCTCATCTGACATGCACATGAGTCAATGAGCATACTTCATCCTTCAGTGACAGATATGAAAAGGAGAAGAGAAAGTTTTCCTGCTGTTACTTACTGTTTTGGGACAGCCTCAGCTGAGCTTCAGGTCAGCTTGAGGGTTGGCTGGTTTTGTTGTGGGTTTTTTTTTTCTTTTTTTTCCCCCTTTTTTTTTTTAAATATACGGTGAGAACATGTTTGCAACCATCTGGTTTGTAGGATGTATAAGGCAATCTCTATCTGACAAAATTTCCCACTTCTGTGCAAAAGTAATTTTCATGGTTTACCAGCATAGAATTCTTCCTTCTTCACTGGAATTTCACATTACAGACTACTTAGAAATAAGGCATGTGGTGGGTTGACCCTGGTTGGCTGCCAAGTGCCTGTCAAGCTGCTCTATTACTCCCCTTCTTCAACGGGACCAGGGAGAGAAAATACAAGAATACTGTCACAGATAAAACAGACTCAACTTGGGGAAAATTAATTTAATTTATTGCCAATCAAAATCAGTGTGTGATAATGAGAAACAAGAACAAATCTAAAACACCTTCCTCCCACTATTCTCTTCTTCTCAGACTCAACTTTACTCCAAATTTCTCTACCTCCTCTCCCCCGAACAGCACAGGAAGACAGGGAATGAAGGTTGCAGCCACCTCATTATGCATTGTCTGTGCCGCTCTTTCCTCATGCTCTTCCCCTGGTTCAGCATGTGGTCCCACCCATGAGAGACAGTTCTCAAACTTCTCCAACGTGGGTCCTTCCCACCTGCTCCAGTGTGTTCACGGGCTGCAGTCATTCAGAAACAGACTGTTCTGGCTTGGATCTCCCCAGGGTCCTGCCAGCAAAGCTACTTCAGCATGGGCTTCTCTCTTCATGGGCCCACAGGTCCTGCCAGGAACCTGCTTCAGCACGGGCTTCCCATAGGGTCACAGTCTCACCCACCTGCTCTGGCACAGGGTCCTCCATGGGCTGCAGGTGGATCTCTGCTCCACTGTTAACCTCCATGGGCTGCAGGAGAACAGCCTGCCTCACTGTCATCTTCACCATGGGCTGCAGGAGAACCTCTGCTCCAAGTACCTCCTCCCCATCCTTATTCATTGATGGTGTCTGCAGAGTTGTTTCTCTCGTATAGTCTCACTTCTCTCTCTCAGCTGCTGTTGCACAGCAGTTTTTACCCTTTCTTAAATATGTTACTGCAGAGGCACTACTGCTGTCGTTGGTGGGCTCAGCTTTGGCCAGCAGCAGGTCCATTTTTGAGTTGGCTAGCACTGGCTCTGTCCAACATCAGGGCAGCTTCTGGCATCTTCTCACAGAAGCCACTCCTGCTGCCTCCATGCTACGAGAACCTTGTTGTGCAAACTAAATACAAGATATTTGATGAAATGTCATTTGGCTGAGATCTGACTCGGCCTTTCACAGGCCAAAAAATGGAATAGCCATCACCTTTCAAGCGATGATTTGCCTTCACTGAACTAAGGTACTTACCATGTAACTTTCCTAGAGCTGGCTTAGGGTTTTGCTAATAACTGACTCTGGTGCCTTAATTTATTCAGGATACTTTTTAAAAAACAAATACATATAAAACATACTCAGGGTTGTATTTCTACTGAAGTAGTGTATCGCACAGTTGTTCTTTAACTAACCAATCTTTTTTTTTTTTAAAGCAGACAGCTATCAAAGACGTAGAGGTGGTCTTATTGCAGCTTTGATTCTCGTAATTACAGTTACAGGAGTCCTGGTATTCCTATGCAGAAGAGGTATGTATAGCATTTCCTAATTGAGCTTAACATGTTTCAAGATTATGCTGATCTAATGTTCTGTAGAATGTATGAAAGCTTCTGACCGTGGCATGTATTGCAAATACAGTAGTAGAAGCAAGTGCAACTTAGGCAAAGGGTAATAGATTTGAAGGAAGTAATGTACTGAACTTCTTTCCCCTTGGACACTGGTCCCAGTGTACTGGCAAGCACTGTAGTTTGTATTTGCATATTTCTCCTTCAGCCTGCCTGTTTCATTTACTATATGCTTCTACTTACCAAGTATCTATGGCCTCTACCATTCCTTACCTGAGTGTGTTTTCACTGCCTTTTTAGAGAGTGTCATAAAGCTGCCCTCAAGATCAGATTTATTTTTGGGATAGGCTCTAATCAGCGCCTGTTGAATACCTTATTTGGGCAATCAACATTCAGGAGTCTAATCTGATAACTCGGTGTGTTCAACTGACTTATCAACTATGAACAGGGACTTCTGTGCCTCCTGTCAGTCTGTATTGCCATGAACCTGGAGTTCTAAATCTGTTTCTTCATCCATTGCTACACTGAATTTGAGTATCTTTTTTGTAAATCTGTCAGCTTGTTTGGAAATGGTAATTGGAGGCTAACACTGTGTATCTCTTGCTGCCACCTTTTTAGGTTAGTGTGTCAGATTGTATTCTGGCTTGAAAGAGAGATGCATACCATCTCTTCTCTTTGTGTTTCAGTGAGTCCTAAATAGGAATACATTGCTTCATCCTAAGGATGTGCTGCATGGAAAATTCCTATTGGCTTCCCAGTAGGGTGACCACTTAGAGGTGGCTGCAGAGTGAAAAGCATAGGATGCATCTCTTCTCTGGGAAGGACTGACTGGTGATATTCTAGAGGGAAGCTCAGATCAGAGCATACAGAGATGTATATTGCAAGCGGACTTTATCTTTCCTGATCATTCTCAATTTGGTTTCTGTTAGCATGGAATCATGAAATAAACTAGGTGGGAAGGAATCTCTGAATTCATCCAACTTGCAGCACGAAGATGGACCCGCTGCAAAGTTAGATCAGGTTGCTCTGGGCCTTGTCCAGCCAAATTTTGACTATTTCCAAGAATGGAAATTTCTCGGGCTCTTTCAGCATGTGTTCCAGCACTGAATCACCCTGTGGAGAAGTACATTTTCCTTATTTCTCTTAGGTATTCCCTTTTGCAGCATGCAGCTATTTTCTCCTGTCCTTTTGTTCTGTACCACTGAGAGGAGTTTCATCTGATTTCTGCGTAAGTTAGTAGTAGACTGCAATTAGCCATCCCCTTAGCCTTCTTTTTCTTCAGGCTGAACAAGCCAAATTTTCTCAGCATCTCCTTACACAGCTCCTAGTCCCTAAACATCTTGGTGGGCATTTGCTGGAATACCTTCAGAATGTCACTGTGTTTTTATGAGTTTGGAGCCAAAAACTAGACAGAGTAGTCCACCTGTGGTGGCCCAAATACTGAAGACGGGAAGAACTATTACTGTTGATGTGCTGACAAAGCTTCTGCTAACGCACTCCAGTATGTAGAAGGCGTGTACTGCAAGGGCAAGTTTCTGCCTGAAGTTCAAGCTGATCACAGAGCTTCCAGGTCCTTTTTCGCAGAGCTGTTTTCTAGCCAGGCCTGTACTACTCCATGGGGTGGTTTCAAGAGGTGCAGGACTTGCCTTTGAACATCACATCTTTTCTGCCAGCACATTCTTCCAGGTTGTTGAAGTCCCTCTGAGTGGCAGCCCTGCCTTCCAGCATATCCCCTACTTTCCCCAGTTTGATGTCATCTGCAAACTTTCTGAGGGTGCCTTCTGTGCCCTTGTCCATGTTGGTGATGTTGAACAGTGCTGTGCTTGGTACCAACACATGAAGAACTTCACTCATAACTGGCCATATGTTAGACTGGAAAGAATTCAACTACCTCTTGGCCATGATAGAAAATAAACTTTTCTTATGCCTCAGTAGTATAAGCACTGCATAGGTATAATCAAACAGAAGATGCGATTTGCTGATTTAAGAACAAGACTCAGAGTCATGAACTGCTGCACTCTGCTTTGGATTTGGTTAGATGAGTTCTGACTCGCTGCTGTTGCAGGAGGCCCATTTTGTTGGTTTCTCACTGGTGACCTTTGCCCCAAAACAGTATTTTACTGTTTCTTCTTTCCCCAGGTCAAGTATTCAGTTGCACATCCTCAGGGACTCTTTTTAGTTTTTGTTAGTTTGTGTTGGGAGGGTGGGGAATAGAGGGAGGCTGTCAGGTGGTTTCCAGAGGCACAAAACATTATTTCTGAGTAATTTATCCAGGTGTTCTGTTTATTTTGGTGCAGGTGGAATTCAATGTAGAATGGGAAAAGCTGCTCAGAACAGTGAGCGTGGCTCAGGTAAGAGGGCTTGGAGTGTAACCAATGTGTGGAAATCAGACTATTGCTGTTCTTTGGTCTGGGCCTGTACATTTTTTCTCTATGGTGAGTACAGTATTTCATTGGAGAGGTAAAGGAGTAAGTTTTCTTTCAGGCCTTAGTTGTTTTTCAGTGTAGTTATTTTTTCCAGGTCATTCATACATACTTACTAAGATAAATTTAATTACAGGAGAACATCAGCCACTTTTTGCTGGGTACAGCCAAGAACAGCCTAACTTGGAGAGAGGTAAGAAACCTGTACTGGGATATAGATGTTTTTAAACATGCTAGTTGGAGCAAGAAGTCTGATCTGGTCTTTCCTTTTTTGCAGCATGTGAGCTTTTAAGTTGATTGTCAGTGTGTGCACATCAGAGTGGCAGGAGTTTGCTCTTAGTTTACCTTGGTCACATCTTGAAAATCCCTGCAACACTGATGAAGACAGGCACGTCGCTAGTTTGGTGTGCAGAACTCTAGTTCTGGTGTGCAGAACTCTTGCTTTTGGTGCTTGACTCTGGTGCATGCTTGGATCCTGTGGGTCAAGTGGCAATTGTCTCCTTTTCTTCCTCTAACCTCTTTCAGTTGTTTCAGGAAAAAAGTCTGTTAGCAGCACCTTTTGATTCACTCTTACTCCACTGTGCAGTCCTGTCTTCTCCTTGCAGCCTTCAGGATAAGGGAAGGAGACAGTCAGTGGAGGAACTTCTCACCTCTTTCCATTACCAGTCTGCTGCCCACTCATGATTTCTTTACATGATGCCCTTCTGCAGGCATTACAAATTCTTCTCAGGTTTGTCTGCACTCCTGTCTTTCTGGCCAGATCTCTAGGTGTGCTCCTGCTGTCCATTCTGTCCCTTCTTCTCCTGTTTTTTTTTTTTCCCCAAAGTTCTGTAATTTGCAGCAAGATTGCTCAGTTGTCTGGCTTGTGGATCTGTGTGTGGGGGTATGGGAATCGCTCTCTCTGGTGAGCAGCTAGGGAAGGGGACTGGTCCTTTAGTTTGTGTTCTTTTCACAAGGGTGAATGAGGCTGACATGTTCCACCCTTAACTCATGTGTGTCTTGTTGCCAGGGCCACTGTGGTCTGTTCTTGTGGACCAAACTAAATTAGGCAGGGAAGCAGATTAGGGGAGAGCAGGGGAAGGAACTTAAGAGAAAAATACTTTGTTGTGGAGGTCACCAGGCCAAATACTGTTTCAGTGTGGAATGGCCACAGCTTCTGCCATCAGATATAAGCTCCGTGACCTGTTGGAGTGTTCTGGTATTGAACTGGTGGTGGCTTCATGTGGGACATTTGGTCTGGTATCTTCCACGAGCTGCTGAAGCTAGCACAAGGCTGGAGCGGGATGTTTCTTGGATTGCAAACTACTGTGTCGCCTTTGCAGAGATTTTCTGTATATTGAATTTAATTTCTGAAGTTGTTCTTTAATTTATCTTCTGAAGTTTCTTAATGTTTATGTGGGTTTGGAGGTTAAAAAAACGTGAGGAGATCCTTATCAGTGGTTGTGGAAAAGATGCCACAGGTAAGGAGGCAGACCTGTGGAAACAAGGTTTTGGACTTTTTTTGTTGTTGGGTTTGTTTATTTGGAGTTTTCCTCTCCCTTTCTTCTCCTTCTCCAGCATATTAAAGTCTTATGAGCTTTTTAGGAGGATTTTTGGATAAATAACTTCATTTTTAAAAAAAATCTATTTCCATACATTTGTTAAAGCTGCTGTTCTAGCCCATGGATCAGAGGTCACTGGAGTCTAGAGACTACTGATGGATTTGAAAGTGAAGAAAGGAGAAGGATGGGGGACAAAACCGCAAAACCAAATCTCCCCCCCAAAAAAGACCTTTTGCTACTTCTCTTAAATTTACTTAAAATGGCCCATGTTTCTATCGGAGATTCCTTAATGTCTACAAAGTGGAAGAGTTTAAATTCACAGTGTCAGTGCAACACATAGGTGAAGTAAAGACAGGAGATGTGGATTCTCTTCTTGGCTGTCTCTGGCTTCTTCTGGAAAATCTGTGCAGCTTTATCTTCTTAAATATACCCACTTCAGAAAGGTGTTGTAAACGTGTAGACATAACTATAGGTAATGTTGGTTATGGTCTGAGACCCAAAGTGGTTGCTGGAGGGAAGTTGAAGTTGAAGTTAATTGTGAGTCCTTCAATAAGATGACATAATATACTAGTTCTCATGAGTATCTGCTAGGCGTTACAATGAAACTGTCTAAGACTGAGTTGCATGTTTTGCAGATTACTGTGCTACCTCCATGCTCGTGTCTAAAAAGGATTTCTTTTTGCTTGCAGCTGCATCTTCACAAGCTGTTGATTTTGAGCATGAAAAGCCTGAAGCAGGTAACAAGTGAGATGGTGCCCTACACTGGGGGAACATGAAAGGAGGAATTGATTTTGTGCGTGGCCTTTTGCAGTTCGAAACGTATTAGCATGTTCTTAGTGTAGAGATGACCGTTTCCGCGTTGGCCTAGGAGGACCAGTTGCCTTAGAGACAGTAAATGTTGATGGGTAGATCACTAGATGAGAAGTCAGAAAGGCCTGGATCCTTGCCTCTGTTAAGCAGCACAAACAAACACCCTTCTTGGGACTTCACCTTCTCTTTTGATGGGAAGGCGTGCATGCTGTTTTTGCAAGTCACTTCACCATCTA